ACTCTTAACGACATCAGCAGCACAAACACCACCCCTACCGTGATCATCTCTATCAATGCCACACCAGTAACATTTTTTTTTTAGTTGGAGTCTCACTCTGTTGCCCAGGCTGGAGTGCAGTGGCACGCTCACTGCCACCCCAGTGTCAACCTGCTGTGCTCTGGTGATCCTTCCGCCTCAGCCTTCCAAGTAGCCGGAACTATAGGCACGTATTACCATATCCAGCTAATTTCTTTTTTTTATTTGTAGAACCAAGGGCTCATCAAGTTGCCTGGGCTGGTCTTGAACCTGCGGGTTCAGGCAATCCACTCGCCTCGGACTCCCAAAGTGCTGGGATTACAGGCTGAGCCAACGAGACTGACCTAACAGCAACATTTTTATCATCACCAATCTTGTCAACACCATGTCATCCTCATCCTTCCCGTTGTCCCCTTCACTGTTACTGTCAAGGCATTAACATCATTACCACTAATCCTGTCAATGCCCATCAAATTGTTATCACCTCCATTCACATCAAAGCCAACATCACCAACCCTACTATTATCATCACCATCACTGCCATGACAGCAATTTCTTCATCATCACCAATCTCATTAGTACCAACATCACTACTACCATCCCACTACTACTGTCATCATCATCGGCGGTGTTGTCGCCTCCTCTCTCATCAATGCTTACATCACATCATCATTCCCGCTATCATTATCACCATTACTGAGATGGCATTGATGTCTTTACCATCGTCAGTCTCATCAACACCAACATCAACATCACCATCCCACCATTACTGTCACAACATCAGCATCATCAGTTTCGCCCTCATCGATGCTGTCACCATTATCCTCAACAGCCTTGCAATGTGATCTTCGCCATCACTACTATTTCAGTTACCTTTATCATAACCCTCACAGTTGATGTCAAAATCAAAATAACTTTCTTCAAGAACACTCTTATGATCCTCTGCATCATCATACGTTGTAATCGGACTCTTCCTTGCCTTGGTCAAACAGAAAGCCCAGACCTCTGGTATAACCTAAGAAGTCAGGCCGTGAGTGGGTGGGAGTGGTGGGGCAACATGTGCCTGCCTGCTTAAAGTCAGAGATGAAAGGGGAAATCCAAGAGGCATATTCTTGGAGGTGGTAGTAGGAGGGAATGAGACATACAAGTCAATCAACTAAGTCTTCAATTTGAAAGTTTAGGGGGAAAAGAGAGAATAGACACAAGAGGCAGTGGGACAGCTAGAAGGTTCAAAACAAAGGTAGGAGGTAAAGCTTTTTATAGGCTTTATAAAAAGATTTTGTAGGGTGCTCATGGCTTCTGGCTTAGGCAGCTGTCACTTATTGTCACCATCTTCTCCATGTTAGTATCCAGCCTCCATGACTACAGAGCCTCACATATAACCTCTTTTCACAGGGAGCATCTAATCTTAAGGGAACAAGGTGGTCAGGGCAGACACTCAACACACTCAGACAGAAGAATAGCGTGAATAAGCAGTGAGAGTGTAGATCACAGCTCCAAGAGTATGGCCACATACTTCAAGAGTATGGCCTCCCTGGGGAGACGGCACTGTAAAGAAGAACTGCCCCTAAATTTGACAATTTATCAACAAACCCAGAGTTCCTATTTTTGAAGCACTTATCATCACCATGATTTGTCTCTCTCTCTTTCTCTCTCTCACACAAACACACACACACACACACACACACATAGTGAGGCTTATTTACTCTCGAGTGACAAGAGTAGGAACAAAATGGTGCTTCTCTGACTTGGCTTCCAGTCTCAGAACTGTAGGTGCACCAGGAAGATGCATGTGTCCTGCTGTCTGTCCTCTCCTGTGCCTGGCATTGTCTACTAGGAAGCCTGGTCACAAGGAGATGCCCTCTGAGCTGTTATTGCTGCTCTTCTGTTCCTGTGTTCTGGGTGGTTCCAGTAGACTCCTAACAATAACCAGCTGCCCCCTCCCCCATTTTTCACCTAGACCATAAGTGGCATTCTCTGGTGTTCTTGGAGGAAGTACAAGTTTCAGGAAAAATAACTTCTTTGCATAATATATCCTGTTCCCAGGAGGCAACAGGGGTGGTGGATGTTAGTCAAGAGGAAAAAATATCCTGAGACCACACATTCTGATGGATTCTAAACTACTCTCTCTCTCTGGATCAATCAGTACCACTCTTAAACCTAGATGAGAGGGACCCTCTCCCAGGGCCTGTGCTCTGGCAAGCCTGCCCTCTCGCTCCTCTGGTCTGCCACTTCTCCCAGAACAAGGAGTCAATGGACCGTAGGGATTTACCCACCAGGAGCCTGTGCCATGCAGCTCCAGGCTTTGCTCTAAGTATCTAGAACACTGAATTTCCTGCCCAGTTAGTCCTGTGCCCTCTTCCAGGCCTGCATAAGCCTCTTCCCTGGGTCTGTCTTCTGGAAGGAGAGCCATGCTTCCAGGATGCACACACCTAGACCCTAGAGGTAACCAAGAGTCAGCTGTTTGCTAGGACTGTAGACAGTGCATGGACATAAGCAGCATGGACACTGAGGTGTCCACAGAGAGTGCAAGGCCCCTTATGATTCAGGATAGAGGCAGTGGTCAAAGGGGTTCTGTGTGGGGGCTGGGTGCCACCTCTCTCTGCTATGGATGAGAAGTCTCTGTTCTCACAGACTTTTCAGATTGTTATTAAGATACATTTGTCAAGGTAGGAGAAAAGGACATATTTTATTTAACAGCTTGTTAGCTTGACTTATGACTTTTAAACATTTAGCTGTATGACATGTGGGCTTCCACCTGTACCCTGGCCCTGGGTCTTACAATCTTAGGGGTGGGCCTGGGCCCGGTAGGTCATTCCCAGAGGCCCTTGAGGCAGTCAGGACGAGTCTGAATCCACAGTGTATTTCTGCTTAAGTGTTCTGTCTTGCTTCCTCCTTCATGCACCATATGTTCATACATGTGCACAAAGTGACATTCCCATGACCACAGGCAGGTGAGCTTGCTCATGCCCTACTGGTGGATCTCTGATGGTTGCAAGTAACAGAAAACCAAAACTTCAATGGCTTAATAATTGTTTCATGTAAACCCAAAGTCCAGGGTTTCACCTGATGGGGCATTCCTGTTCCTTTCTCTCCTTGGCTCTGCTCACCCCCACTCTGTGTTTAGAGACAAGCACCACTCTTTCTAATGAGGGCAAGGTGGCTACTGCATCTCTAGATCTTACTTCCTGGAGGTTCAGTTAAAGAGGAAAAGTGCCCCTTTCTCAGTCCCATGGGCTGTCGTGGCATCCCATTGGCTCTGACTGGTCATGTGACCATCTCCAAAACAATGACTGTGAACTGGGAGAGGTTAGTGAACAGTTGGCCTGGATGTAAGTCACATGCTCTGTGCCTACATGTTGAGAGTGGAAAAGGGGCTGAGGCCCCAAGGAAAATTAGAGGCAGTTGCTAGAAGAAAGAGGTGGGAGAGCCTCTCCCCCACCCAGAATGACCCTGAGAGGTCCCCTTTCAATAGGTCTTTTAGGCATAGTCCCCACTCTGAGGCCCAGCTGCCCTAACTCTGCTCATTTGATGTTCTGTTATGCCTACTGATGTTTGCCCATCCCAGAGGAGTGGGAAGCATCTGCTGTCCCTCCTGCCTGACCCCTGGGCTTTCCCAAGAGCCTGCACTGTTTGAAAACAGGGATTCGGCCGTTATTCAACTTTCGAATGTTGATCTACACTGTAGATATAACAATAAACCATACAGATCAAACCCTTTCCTCTTTGGAACTTACATTCTAGTGGGAGGAGAAAGTCAACAAATGAACTAGACTTCTGTGGTCACTTAATAAAGAAATAAATAAAACCAGGGATGGATCTTAGGGTGTATGGTTCAGGGCTTGCTACTATAAGTTGGGCAGTGATGACCTCCCTATTGAGACACAGAGACCTGAAGGAAGGGAGGGAAGGATTCATGAGGATATATGAGGGAAGAGCATTCCAGACAGAGAGTGCAAAGGCCCTGAGGCAGGTGTGCACTTAGTGCATTTGAGGAACATCGAGGAGGTTATAGGGCTTGCGTGCTGTGAGGAAGGGAAAGCAAGATGGGAGATGAAGTCAGAAAAGTGGTGGTAGTGGTGGTAGGGAGGGGATCAAGGACATAGAGAAGCTGCAACAAGTAAGAACCTCTCTGGCCACTGTAAGAACTTCGGCTTTTGCACTGAGTGAGATGGAGCCCTCGGAGCAAAGGAGTGACGTCATCTACCTTACACTGTGAAAGGCTCAGTCGGGCTCCTGCGTGTGGAATAGAGAGCAGGGAGGATGATGAGAAAGTGTCTGCAGTAAACTAGGCAGAACTGATGGGGGCTTGGACTGGGGTGAGAATTGGGGGTGGGAGTGGTAAGAATCGGTCACTGCGATATGTTTTGAAGGTGAAGCCACAAGAGTTGTGGATGAGTTAGGGCGTGGAATATGAGAAGGGCAAGACAAAACCAAGGTTGCTCTTGGGACTGCCCTTTACCGAGATGGGAGACTGGTAGGAGAAGAGGGGGTGTTTCTTGACCTATGTGGTCTGAGATGCATCTTAGACATTTAACAGCTGTGTTGTGTGAGAGATGAGATGTGCAGATCAGGGCTGGAGGTTGGAGTTTAAGAGTCCTCACCCGATAGATGCTTGATTCCTATTTGTTTCTCAAGTTCCTCTGCCCCCAAAATAGGACCTGGCCTGGAGCTTGTGACGCTAATCACAATTACAGCATCCAAGGCAATGATCGTTTCTTTGTCGTGAGTACTTCCTAAGGGCCAGGACTGTGCTCCAGTCTTACAGTCATCTCATTCCACTTTCTTACGATCCCATGAGGTAGGGATGATTAGAACCCCCATTTGCAGGTGAGGAAGTCGATCAGAGAGATATCTATTGTCCGCCCTCCAAGGGTTCCTGTTGCTGTTTGTCTCACGTGTTTATGCAGTCATCAGAATTGCTGCCCCACGTGTCCACAGCTGCTGCACTGACCCCTGTGCTGCCCTTCCCTCTGTTACAGCCTGTGACCAGCTGGCTCTGGGCGTGGTGGCGATCTTCGGGCCGTCACAGGGCTCTTGCACCAACGCCGTTCAGTCCATCTGCAATGCCCTGGAGGTGCCCCACATCCAACTGCGCTGGAAGCACCACCCGCTGGACAACAAGGACACCTTCTACGTGAACCTCTACCCCGACTATGCCTCTCTCAGCCACGCTATCCTTGATCTGGTTCAATACCTCAAGTGGCGGTCGGCCACCGTGGTCTATGACGACAGTACAGGTAGGTAGCTAGGCCAGGCTGGGCTGGAGGAGGTGGGGAGCATGCCAGGACCAGGCTCTCATCTGTGCAACACAACTGCCCTGGGGAAAAGGCTGTGTCCCACACCCCAGCTTTACCCGGTCACACTGATGCCCCCCCCTGCACGAACTCACCCCCACCCCAGCCACACTCACACCTCACTCGACCCCAGTCCACCTCACACCTGCCTCACCTTCCTCCACATTTCCACCTCCACCCTCGGCAGCATGAGTGCTCAAATCTGCACTCGCCACACACCCTAACACCTGCACACACACCTGTGAGCCATGCCCACACCTGCCCACATGCTTATACTTGTATACTCCTCTCTGCAACAAACATACTTGAACACTCACTCAACATAGCTTATTTATGGTACAGTGTGTATGCTATAGCTAAACCACTTTATTTTAAATCTTGACTCTATCACCTGCTGGTTGTGTAGCTGCTTTGTGCCTCAGTTTCCTCATGTGTAAAATTTGGGGACTGAAGGCCATAATGTAGCAAGTACCCGGCAGGCAGTGAGCTCTCTCTCAAAGCTAGTTTTTCTGATCATCCTCACACCTGCACCCCACACACACCCTTCTCTTTCTACACTTGCACACAGACTACAACCCCTGCCCTACCTGCTTGACTGCTGGCCCCAGCCAAGGCCAGGCCTGCAGAAGTGAGCACAGGGCTCTTGTCACCATCCCAGGAAGAGGGAGAAAAGGGGTGTTGGGTTGTGCCTGTGAGCTGTGGGTTTAGGCTGGACTCCCTGGTGTAGACACACCTGTCCCTCACGCTGGCCAGCTAGAACCAACACCAGCATTCTTCTGGATAGGGCCTGCTTGGCCCAGTTCTGCCCAACCTTCCAAGTCCAGCCTGGGCCCTACCTTCCTGAAAATTATTGCTACAGTGTGTTATCCCTTGCTTTTCCAATCCCAGGCCCTTGGTGAGAGCCCCAGAACACACACTTAGCAGATATTCACTAACAAATTCAGCACACCCATTCTGGGCCTTTCCTTTGGACTCTCTGTTGTGGGGAACTTGGGGATACTAGGTGAATAAAACTCAGACCTTGGCCTTGGCAAGCTTTGCAAGGGGGAATATGGGCAGGGGCCATGCAACTATCTCTGTGATACTATGTATAGAGAGCTAATGGACTGCAGGGAGTTGGCAGCTAGAGCCTGGAAAAGCAGGAGGGGTGAGGAGAGGAGAGAAGAGTCCCAGAGACCCTGCTTCCATCCTCAGGCATCCTCCTGTGGATGTGCAGGATGGACATAGGCCTGGAGAGTCCCTTAGTAATAGGAGAAGGATGCATCTGGATTCATACATTGAAAAAGACTACTGTTTTCCTGCTGTGGACCAAACGGTGCAAATGCGACCTTGTTTAATTTCATGCAAACCTCATAATAACTCTGTGGAATGATAAATGAGAGATGAGGTGACCAAGGCCCAAAGAGGTGGCATGCCTGCCCACCGTCACCCAGCTAGCGTCAGGACCGGCATGCACCTGCAGCCTGTTTGAGTCCAAATCCCACGCTCGTAGCCAGTGTGGAGCTGTTTCTTCTCCTCCTTACTCTTTCCAAGATGTGAGTCCCAAGACACTGCTTAGCCCGTTCTCTTATGATAGAGTGACCTTGGCACGTTACTTAACCCGTCTGGCCTCGTTCTTCCCACATGTCAAGAGCGACCGCATCCAGCCTTGAAAGAGCTCTCCAGCTCTCAGCTGCCTGTGATTCAGTGTCGGCTCTTGATTAACTCCTAACAGGGAGGAGAAATCGCAAGGGATTGTCAGAAAGATGATCAGAAAGTTGTTTAGTGAACTCGGGTTTCTACAAGCATCTATTGAGTCCCTGCAGCTCCCACAGCACCGGACAACAGATCCTTGAGAACAGGGATCTCCACCCCTGCTTAGTGGCCCCACTGAGGGTTCTGCCAGTGAGGGATTCTCCTGTGCAGCTCCCAGCCACCTGCTGTGTTCCCGCAGCACCCAGGACTTGTTTCTTAACGTACCACTACGTATGATTTTCTGGCTATAAGCCTGTTTCTGCTTCCAGACCAGGACCTTTCTGTGTCTCCAGGATTTAGCCCAAGGCACGTGTAGATGTGTTTAAATGTTGGTTGCATTGAATTGGACTGGTTTGAATTGAATTGGAAATCAAGTTGAATTAAACCCTAATTAAATATTAGAGGAAAGAGTGTAGGAGGGAAGAAGCAAGATATTGCTATTCCCGTCTTTTGTTCAGAAGTTAATCATATCGAGGAGTGGGGCCCACCCAGAGGTCACAGGTGACTCCAGGCCTTCAGAGCTAAGCATGAAGAGACATGTGCAACCAGTCAGAGCTAGAGGACTTGGGGAGAAGGTGCTGGATGGCCTTGGCCTGTCTGAGCTGACTTACCAGAGGAGAGATTTGAGCGGGGCTTTCAGGGTGGTGGACAGGGAGAGGAGACATGAGGACGTTACAGGTGGGGGGAACAGCATGGGCCAAAACGAGGAGTGGGGACTATGCAGGGAAGTCTTACCAAGAGGACAGCCTGGCTGTGGAAGAGGGTCGAGGACAGAAGGCAGGAGGGAAAAGTCAGATAAGCAGAGTGTCGCTGGCTGTGCAAGGCCTCTGATGTCCATCCTTGGAATCCAGAGTCTTTAAGCAGCTGAAGGCCATCGAGTGCTGTCGAGCAAAGGAGGAGAACAGTCAAAGCGGAGTTTGGAGGGAGGCTCTGAGAGCAACGCATGGGAGATTGGAAGGAACAAGATATCTGAAATGCAGGAGACTGGCTGATCCAGGCAAGAACAGCAGAGGTCTGCATTTGAGGGTGCTTGGAAGAGCACTTGCGCCAGAATGGTTGTGGGCAAAGTAGTGTGGAAGATGTGTAACTGGAAGTCAAGATTGCAGAGTGGTTAGGACAGACACTGGCATGGACCACTGCCCAGCAGCCCAGGTCCTCCAGGCTGGCTGAGGGAAGGAGGAGTGGCCTTGCAAAGGAACAGGTATCACACTGGTGAAACCCATCAGAGCTCATGTCAGGGTCTGGAGCTTTCTCCCTACGAGCCCTCAGCTCTTGCTGTATGGACATGGTCCTTGATTCTTGGCTCCAAAGGCCTGGAATTACCAGTGACTTCTGGGTAGGCACCCACTCTCCTACGATATGATGAACTTCTTAAAGAAGATGAGAATAGTAACATCTTCATTCCTTCACTCTTAGACCCTTTCCTTCAATATTTAATTAGAGTTTAATTCAACTTGATTTCCAATCCAATTCAATTCAGTTCAACAAACATTTAAGCACCGAGGGGAGTGATGAGGGGATGAGTTTGGTCAAGAAGACAGTTGATACTAGGAATTCAGGACTGGATTTGGTCAAACAATAATACAGCTCTGATGATGGGTAGTGGGTAGCAAGAAATGTGCTCCCAGAATTAGGGTATTTCAAAAGTCAGGGTAACTTGTGATTCATCAAACCCATGGAATGGGAAGTTCTCCGTGGCAGACTTCGGCTGTGTGTGCTTTGGGGGGTTGTGTCCATTAGGATATTTTGGCTATAAGTAACAGACAACCCAACTTCAACTGACTAGAGCAATAGCCACTTGGTTATCTCACTGACAAGAAGTCTGGAGGTGGGCCTTTCATGCTGGGTCAGAGTTGCCACAGCTCTCTTGGTTTTCCCCTCATGGTCACAATAGGGCTCCTAAAGCTCTGAGCATGCAGTAAGTGGCACACAGGAGACAGGGACCAATGGGATTTTTCTTTTTCATGCTTATTCCCTTTTTTTTTTTTTTTTTTTTTGAGATGGAGTTTTGTTCTGTTACCCAGGCTGGAGTGCAATGGTGTGATCATAGCTTACCGCAGCGTCAAACTCTTGGGCTCAAGTGATCCTCCCACCCAAGCCTTCCAAGTAGCTAGGACTACAAGTTTTGGGGGTTTTTTTGTAGTCAAGGTCTTGCTATGTTGTCCAACCTGGTCTTGAACTCCTGGCTTCAAGCAATCCTCCCACCTCAGCCTCCCAAAGCACTGGAACTACAGGCACCAGCCTCCACACCTGACTCAAAGGAATTTTTCTTTTCTTTTTTTTGAGTTGGAGTCTCACTCTGTTGCCCAGACTGGAGTGCAGTGGCCACTCCCAGCCACCACAGCCTTGACTTGCTGGGCCCCGGCAATCCTGCCGCCTCAGCCTTCCGAGTAGGCGGAATTACAGGCATGCACTACCACACCCGGCTGATTTTTTGATTTATTGTAGAGATGAGGTCTCGCCAAGTTTCTTAATGTGACTCATGCCTCTTATCAGAGAGGAAAATCTGTCTCAGAACCTTCTAGAAGACAGTCCTGTGTAGTTCCCTGGGTCTATGCCTACTATTCCAGACACTGTCCAGTGGGAATAGGATTGCCTTTGATTGTCTCCTACTGATTTTGTGTTATCTCTTGGAATTGACACATTGTCACCCAAACAAAATTACAGTTCTTTTAGAACACTAGAAGGAGGTGCCTCTGCTATCTCTTTGTACAATAATGCTTTGCAACCATCTTTCCCCAAAACTCAGTGGCTTGAAAAAAAATGGCATTTGTTTAGCTCATAAGTGCACAGGGTCAGTGATTTCCTGAGCTTGGCTAGGCAGTTTTTCTGGGCTCAGTGGGATCACTCCCCTGCCTGGGATTGGATAGCTATGGATTGATCTGGGCCGGCCTTGACTGAGATGACAGGTGTAACTCAGCTCTCCCCAGTGTGTTCCTCAGCCTCAAGCAGGCTAGCCCAAGCATGCAGCCATGACAGTGTCAGAGGGGCAAGAGAACAAACCCAATGTGCAATTCCATGTCAACTGCCTACCTGTATTATACCTGCTGGTATCCCACTGGCCAAAACAAGTCACGTGGTTGAGCCCTATCGGAGGACATCGTAAAATTCCATGGCCAAGAGCATGGATCGAGGAAGGGGTGAAGACTAGGGTTCCCTGTTGCAATCTACCTCAGGAGGATGGCTGTTGAGGAGGCCACCAGTATTTCCCCTATGAGTCTTGCACACCTCCACCTTCTTAATCCAATCTATGCACAAAGACAAACTGATATTGGGAGTAAAAGGAAGGAGTTGAAAATAACCCGGGGTGGAGAAAAGCACCAAAATATGGAGTCTCTGATTATGATCCCATCATTAGAGGGCTGTGACACCTCAGGAGGGCCACTCGGCCTCTGCGGTCCCCAGTTTCTTCCTCCCTAAAATGGGAATGGAAAATGCCTGCTCTCTATGCCTTCTAGGATTGAGAGATGTTAAACAGGGTAATGAATGCAGAAGTGCTTTGAGAGTGAGAATCATGATTCCAACAACCATGATTCACCACAGATATTTTAAGAGAGATTGATTAGGGAGGCAGCCAGAAAGGAAAGCTCATCTCAGGCAAGCAAAGAGAGCCTAGTCCCCTGCTGGGGTGGGCTGAGAGGAGCCTCTGGTCTCCTCTGGGAATACACTGATGGCAAGGAGGTCTGACATTTGCCGCTGGAGAATGTGGGTCGCCTTGCATTACACGGGGCAGCGTGCTTGATTGACAGGAAGGCCCTGGTGGCCTCTGCACCAGCATCTAGCCTGTCCCAGTCCTCATGTCCCTGGTTCCCAAAGCCCACGTGCCTGCTGATGCTACAAATAAGTCTCAAAACCAAGAGGTAGAAACAAGCCATGGGCTTGTTGTTCTGGGCTTCATGGGGGCAATAGATGAGAAGGGACAGCATTGCTCACCCAAACCAAGGGTTTCTGGGGTACGTTCAAAGGGAGACAGCCCTTGGTATGTGTTTAGGAGAAGCCTGTGGCCTCTCCCTCCTATGACAAGGTCAACTGATATCCTCTTCCTCCATCCCATCAACTCTGGTGTTGGGAGGCACTGGATCCTCATTTGACCCAGTCCACTCCAGGACTCTGGAGCCTCTCCCAACCCCTACACCTGAGTTTGAGACTTCTCAGTGGGGTGGAGGTTCCTAACGCCCACATACATGGCAGAGCTTGTTTGGGAGGTCTTTGGGAGGCTTAGGATACAGGGATGTATCTCTGTCCTCCCCAGCAGAGTGGAATGATAGGCATCAGTCAGATTGCTTTCCTGACATCCAGCCCTCATGAGCGGGAATAAGAGCCAAACAGACTCAGGCGTGTGTACCAGAGATTGATTCAGGAACCAGGACTCTCTGTTGGAAAGCTTCTGGAGGGGGCTGAGTGGGGGGACTCTTTCCAGATAATGCAGCTGATTGCAAACTTTAATCCACCGCAGACTGCCTTAAGTAAAAAAGAGAGAGGCTATTTGTTGGCTGCCTTTGCTGGAAAACTGAAGGGTAATGTTACCTTCAGGTACACTTTGATCCAGAGACTCAAGTGAGTATCATCAGGACTTCTTTTCTACCTGTCCTCTCACACTTCTGCTCTGTTGGAATCCTTCTCAAGTTCTATGTGGTGGCCCCCAGACTTACAGCCTCCCTATTTGAAATCAAATGGAAAAGAGGTGTTTCTTACCCCTTTCTTGGGCCAGGCACTGTAGCACAAGTGCTGACAGTCGCTCTGATAAGATCAACTTTGCAGTATCTATCCCTAAGTCAACCCCTATTCCCAGAGGACATACTGAGTGACTAGGCTGGGGCACATGCTTTGCCCCTATAGCTGGAGATGGATTCCTCCTGAGTCATAGAAACTGGGAGTGGGAGGAGTTGTTCCCCACAGGAAAATTGGAGTGCAGTGAGTGTGGGGATGGAACACGTTGTATGATCAGTGCAGCCAGGGCACTGAGTCCTGAGGATGGCAGGAGAGAGAGTAGATGGCCTGCCCACACTGGCTCAGCCTCTCCTTCCAGTGGCTGGGGCAGAGACATATAGAGAGTAGCAAGCAGGCTTGCTCCCAGGTTGTGCAGAGACAAGTCAGCAAGAAAGGACCTTGAAATTGGGACCGAAATGAACTTAATTAGACCTAAGCAAGCCATTTGTCTCCAGGAAGTGACATTCAGTTTTCCTTGGAAGTCCCCAGATTAAGTGGTTCTACAAAATTCCAACCAAGGTGGAAGATAGATTTTTCAGTGTGAGGAGAAAACAAAAAAAGAAAGAAAACAGTAAATCAATCCAATTATGGAAACTTTTGTTGAGTACCACTTAAGTGCCAGCCCTGTGCTGGGAGCCATGGGGTCCCAGCCCTGGATATCAGGGCAGGATGAGAGGCATGAGGCAAGGCCAGAGGAGGCTAGTGCTGACGGAGGAGGCCACTGAGCTGGGGGAGGAGGGCGATCTTTTCTGAACAGAGCAATAGAAGCAGGCTTCCTGGAGGAGGCGGTTGCATTAAACTTGGAAGAATGGGTAAGGTTTAACAAGGCATTCTGCCCTTGGTGGGTTGGGGTTAGGGGACAGAGACAAAATGCCACCGGGCCTCACCTAGTCCAGTGGTCAGTACAGGTTAGTACATTTGAGGCTGGCACTGGCTATTGTGCCCATATCCTGGAAGCAGTTTGCTGGAAATGTTTAGGGAAACTCTGTCCCATGTCTCACAGTGTTTTGGCACGAGGGGTTTAGAATAAGAAGGGAACCTGACTGAGGGGCGGTAAGCCTCTATGCCCATGTGTGGTTAGAGGGGAGCAGGTGGGTGTGGCCAGTGAGGATTTGCTGTCTGTGCCTACTTTTGGATTTACATATGTGTGTGTGCACAGGCCTTAATCTGCATATATACATGTGTTTATAAGCCCCAGTCTATGTCCTATCCATACCAACATGTCCATGTATGCAGCCATGTGCTTGTATGTGCACACACATCTGCTCTCCAATCTCATCCATATATGCACACACGTCTCTGGGGGCCACATATCTGTGTCTGTGTGTGTCTGCAGACCTGTGTGTGCCCCAGGCCTGTGTGTGCACACGTCTGAGTGGATGCCTGAAGCTGTGTCTACACACATGCACGTGTGTCTCTTGTGCCCCGTGGCCCCTCAGGGCTCATCCGGCTGCAGGAGCTCATCATGGCCCCGTCTAGATACAACATCCGCTTGAAGATCCGCCAGCTGCCCATTGACTCGGATGACTCCCGGCCACTGCTCAAGGAGATGAAACGAGGTCGGGAGTTCCGCATCATCTTTGACTGCAGCCACACCATGGCAGCCCAGATCCTCAAGCAGGTGGGTGAGCACTGCCCGGGAGGGATGGCTGCACTCTGTCCCTATTTCTCCCACTTTCCCTTTCCCAAACACAGTTGTGGTGCCGCCAGGTCTAAGCTGGACTCCTGGCTCTGCCACTTTTGGGCGGTGTGACCTTGGGTGGCCCCTTTGCCTCTCTGAGCCTCATTTTCCCCAGCAGCAAAATGGACACAGTGGTCTTTACGCCCTGAGTTGGCATGAGGGCAGATCTGTGCCCCGGCCAGCCCTGACACACAGAGTGCTGAATAGACGCTGGTTTCCCTCCCACCTCTGTGTAGGTTGGAGGCAGGGGCTGCCGAGAGGGGACCGAAGCCACATAAGAGCAAAGCACTCAGGAGGCAGAGAGGCCTTGGCGTCTCAGGAACAGCCCCCAGAAGGCTTCACTGCCTCTTCAGTGACTAATTCCCCGTAGCCCATGGCACTTGGTGTTACTCTCCTATTCCTGGGATGTGTAGCAGGCTCCTCCAGCCATCTGCTCAGCTCCTCAGCGGCGGTGGGGAAGGAGGGTGGCTCTCAGTCCTGGATGGGCCTCCGTTCCTAAGCACAGCTCAGTGTGGCATGCTGGGGCCGAGAGCCAAGCTCCACCAGGCACCTAATAAAATAAACAGCAAGCTTGCCTGCAGCTTCCTCTGAGGGTGCTGCCGCTGAAACCAGGAACAGGAATGTGAGCCGATGGCGATTATGTCATCCCAGAAAGCATTCCTGATGGGAAGAGGCATTCTGTGGGGCTTTGCCACATGACCTAGTGAGGTCTCAGTGACAAGCAGGGAACTCAGAGGGTGCAAGGTGAGACCTGCTAAATTGGGGCATTTTCGAAACCCTGAGAGCTCAAGTCCCATGCTCCAGGTGGGCTCCCTAAGGGATGTCTGAGCCGGTGACCTGTTTGGGGCCATTCCCCACAAAGGAAGCTCCTGCACTGGTGGCTGAAAGGCTCATGTGGGAATCTGAGTTCTTCTTCTTTTTTTTTTTTTTTGAGTTGGAGTCTCACTCGGTCGCCCAGACTGGAGTGTAATGGCCGCTCCCGGCCACCACAGCTTCGACCTGCTGGGCTCCGGCGATCCTTCCGCCTCAGCCTTCCAAGTAGCTGGAACTACAGGCACGCACTACCATGCCCAGCTAGTTTTGTGATTTATTGTAGAGATGAGGTCTCGCCAAGTTGCCCAGGCGGGTCTCAAACCCGCGGGCTCTGGCAATTCACTCACCTCAGCCTCAACCAAGGCGCGGGATTACAGGCTGAGCCACCGAGCCCTGCTTGATTTCTTCTTCTGTCCTTTCCCGTGTGTGCCCTGGAAGCAAGTGTTCCAGGAGTCCCTCCCCTCCTCTGAAGACAGTTGATAATCCCCACCTCATGCAGCAATGGAAGCTTCAATGAGAGCAGAAAAGCTGAGTCTTTCCTGGTGCCCAGCATGCAATCCACCCTGGACACGGGGCCTCTTTAAAGCCACTGTCAATGAAACGCACTCTTCGGAAATCCTGTAACCATCATTCTCCCAGTCGCCTATGCCCAGAGCTTCCCTTCCCTCCCTAACTTGTGCAGCAGGATAACAGTGACAACCATGACTTTGCTTTACAGAGGCTACTCTGTCCAGGTACATGTAGCTTCTCATTTGCCACCATCCTGGGACACAGGGATGATTATCATGCCCAATGTATAGGGAGGGAAACTAAGGATAAAAGGGAAAGTGGGGCTCAAGGTCATCCAACCAGGAAGTCGGGTTTTACCCCCCAGGAAAGTCTGATTTGGAAACTTCTAGAATTAGAATTTTGAAGACTTAGTGCTCAGTTAAGCCCAGAATGAAATGAAGTGAAGCCTGTCTGTTCACTACAACACTTCTCTGAACCTTTAAGGGGCTGAGGTGGGCTGTGAATCTCCAAGGGTGGGAAGGAATGTGCAGCACTTGTGAAGTGTACTTGACCCAGTGACATTTTCCCCCAGAGCCTCTGTGGACCCAGCATTCCGAGAAACTCTGTAGAAAATGCATTATAGTCATTAGGATTATAGATTATAGGCTTCTAATAAAATACATAAACTATATATAATGAAGACTTCATGATGGTATATCATAATAATTCCACAGCTGCCACGTGGCAGCTTTGTGGTCACCAGAACCCGGGATGCGGGGATGTCTCAGCCCTTCTGGGGGGGCCCTGGACTGAGGATAGCCCTCCCACCCCCACCCCCACCAGGGCCTAGCTAGGTTGGGGGTGGGGCTGCACTCTCTGGAGCCTGGCCCGTGAGCTCAGCTGAGTGATGTCCTGGGCACTTGAGAAGACAGTCTTGGGCTGAACCTGTCAGCATTTCCAAAAGTGTGGCAGGTCCAGAGATGCTTACTAAAAAAGAAACAGCTAGATCTCACCCAGCCCTGCAAAATTTGGAATCTTTAGAGAATGTGACCCCAAAATCTGCATTTTAAGCTGTCCCTGGTGATTTTGCTGCACGCCCCACTGTGAAACCCACTGCTATCTGTCCCCTAGTCATTGTCACTCTTTGGAGGTGGTTTCGGAGAACATCCCAGTCCTCTCCCTACCCTGCTGCCAGTCCTGTCCTCACCCTTGGGGCGGGGAGGGAGAGGGCTGCACAGGCATCCCTGCTGGTTGCTAACACTCTGCCTCCCCACAGGCCATGGCCATGGGCATGATGACTGAGTACTACCACTTCATCTTCACCACGCTGGTAATGTACCTCGGGTCCTGGTGCGAGTGGTGGGGGGAGCTCCCTTGGGAGGGAGGTTGTATAGCCTGGCCTGGATCAGCCCCCTGGGGACAGTTGCTGCAGCTAGAAGAGATCCCAGATGGCTTGCTTTCTAAGGCTATAGGTGTGGGCCCAGTTAAGGTCACAAAGATGTCTTTGAGAAGCAGCATTGCATTATAATCTTCATGACTCTGGTGCCAATGTGAACACAAGTGCCTCTGCCTCCTGCCTGTGGGAACTTGGGTAAGTCATTTGGCCTCCCTACCTCAGTTTCTTCCTCTGCAAAATGGGCTTCTACCTCCTGGAGTCTTTTGAGTATGAAATGAGTTAATGAAGTCCAATGCCAAGAGCAGTGCCTTAGCTATTACTACCATCGGGACCCCCATTCTCAGCCCACGCGTCCCCACACATGTCTCAGGCCTCACGGGAAGGACCACTCGAGATTCTTATTGAACCCCAAGGACCACTCAGATTCTATGCTGAAGTCTGCCCACTCGCTGTCAGCTGGCCCAGCCCACCTCCAGGCTGCAGATGGGTCCTGTCCAAACTCCGAGAACATTTAGAGCCATTTAAACCCATTAGGATAATTAGTGTGGCCTGAGATCAGCAGAATAAAGAGATCCCTGTGCCAAAGGGGCACCAGCACTGAACCGCCCTGCCTTGCAGCCAGACACCCTCAGACCTTGCTGGGCTCCTGCATGGGCTATTCCATCCACCCCAGATCCGGGATGCGTGACAGCCTTGCCGATCATCCTCTCCCTGAAACGAGCCTCCGGCAGCCTGTGTCTATCAGCGATGCAGCCCTGCAGGCCTCCAGCCATACCCACTTGTTTATCCAGCATTCACGTAGCCTAGGAGCTCTGGATGTGGAGGGTCTGATGGAAGGTGGGAAATTTGAGGCCATCCTTGCAGAAAAACACATACTTAAACTGGGCTTCGAAGAAGGAATTCACCAAGGGAGACAGAGGAAAGGTATTCCATGTAGAAGGAACAGCATAAGCAAAGGCCAAGAGGTGGGTTTGCTCTTCAGTGGTGTGCAGGAGCTAGCTTTATCTGGAGTGTGAAAGCTGATTGCATCATCTCCTCCCAAGTCCACGTCATGTTGTCATCTTAGAATCGCAGTGGTAAGAACATGTATACCGCAGAAGTTGGCAAGTGCTACAGATAAGGCCCCTCCCCTAGAGAGCTTATTATACCTTCCCTACATCCCCATCCTCTGCTCCCTGTGCCCATGGCAGAGCTAGGGGTCATCTTGCATGTTCCCTTGATCCAGGGCTCAACCCGGGGACCTTACAGGAGCCATATTAGGAGAAAAGGATCTTGGAAACTGGAGGCTGAGACCAGGCACCTTCTCCCCCGCATCCCTTCTGGATTTCTGCCTGCCCAAGCTGGCTTCTCCCTGCCATGCTGTATCCTGGAAAGTCAGTAGAGGCTTAGGATGAGGCTGCCAGAGCCCTGATTCTCTCTCCCTCTATCCAGAGTGGGGAACAGGGCAGAGAAGCAAGACTAGGAAGGTGGGGCAGGGCACATCACAGGGGCCCACAGGCTTCTCCCTATCCCAGCAGCCCTCCCCATCCCATCCCAGGTCCCCAGGGTGCAGAGACCGACTTCTGGGCCCTGGAGTTCCAGCCAGCCCTGCGTCAGCAGCCCAGCATGCATTCTTCTCAGACTTCTCCCCTGACCCCCACCCAGCTGACCTCTCCGTGTCCTCATGCTTTGAGTTACTACCAAAAACCTTGGGGTCCACGATAGTAAGATAAAGGAGAGAGACAAGGTGGCGCTGCAGAAGCAGGCAGCTCTTCCAGGTGCTTTGGCTCTGCCTGCTATGGGTCTGCCTGCAGACTATACCGCCTGCCCCTCCAGTCCTGTGTGTAGTGTCAGCACAGGGCAAGAAAGCAGGTGTTGGAGGCACATAGACACCACAGGATGTCCTGGCCCCACCAGCTTTTTTCTTTCTTTTTTTTTTTTTGGATTTGGAGTCTCACTCTGTCGCCCAGGCTGGAGTGCAGGGGCACACTCATGGTCACCCCAGTGTCGACCTGCTGGGCTCCGGCGATCCTTTCTCCTCAGCCTTCCAAGTAGTTGGAACTACAGGCACGCATTATCACACCCGGCTGATTATTTTTAATTTATTGCAGAGACGAAGTCTCATCAAGTTGCCTGGGCTAGTCTCGAACCCGCAGGCTCAGGCATTCCACTCATCTCGGCCTCCCAAAGTGCTAGGATTACAGACTGAGCCACCGAGCCCAGCCCCCCTCCTCTTAAGGTACACATGAGTAGCTTACCTTCCTGGGCCTGTGTCCTTGTCTGTAAAACAGAACGAGTATGTTGTAATGCTTCTGGGCACCACATCCCCCATGTGACCTCTCTTGGTTGTAAGGAACAGATCTCACTTGAGTTACCTTGAGTTGTTAGGAGGTTCAAGAATGAAGCACCAGGCCACAAGGGCACACATGGAGGTGGCTCTGGATTCAGAGCAACTCTGGATATCAGGTGACAGGTCTCCCCCCTGAGTCTGCCCTGAGACTCCGCCATCCGTCTCTCCCCACTGCTCCCTCCCTCTGCTCCAGGATTCTGCTCCTTCCTAGGAGTCTCTGTTTCTGGAAGCTTCAGCATCACAGCTACCCTGGACACATCACATCCCAATCCACCATCCATTTACCCATCCCCTCTCACTGCCTCTGTCTCTGAGTGCCACCTTCTACTTTCCCAGTCGGATGACTGGCAGGCCCAGAGCCAGTCAGTGCGTCTCCACAGGGGCACCTCAGGCATTTGGGCTGGAGAGTTCGCCGTTCCATCATAGAATGTTTAACATCCTTAATCCCCACTCACTAATTTCCGGTCTTGGGGACAAATAAATAAATGCCTCCTTCATTTCTAAATACTTGAAGGATGGGGACTGGGTCACCAGCCAGATTGTGGAAACCATCCGGGGGACAGGTGACCAGGTCTACCCAGGGGAGAAGAGATAGAATGGGCTTACAGACAACACGACCAGGCCACCAACAGAGGGGCTTAGGACATTGGGAGGTTCCTGTAGAATTGAGTGTGGTCAGGGCAGGAACAGAATCTATTTATCTCATTCACCCACCCTGAGTATTGCCCGCTCCCACCCTGTTCACATAGGGCCTGTGATTTACACTCCCCCACCCCTGGGCCTTGTCCCAGTTCCAGCTCTAAATACACTACCAAGAGCATCTCTGCCTGGCTCAGGCCCTCATTCTGAGGCTAAAGGAAGCATCCCCTCAGAGAGCTGATGGAACCACAGGCCCGAAGCTTTGGGCCTCAGCCCTGCAGCCTGGCTGACCTTCCAGGGTAAGACTCTGAGGAAGGCACCACCCCAGTATACCCTCCACTTTAATGCCATTGGCCACTGGGTTCAAGGTTGAAGGTCTTAGCAAAAGGATCCTCGTGCCCCAGGGCCCTCCCCTAGCCCCAGGAAGTGCCCATTTCTCTTTTAATTTCCTCAATCAAGCATTCATGTATTCATGTATCCAGCAGCTATATACAAAGGCTCTCTGAGCTCCCAGGTACTGAGCCTGGCACTTGGGTGGGAGGGCTGTACAAAAATGGATTCAACACAAAGCTCACACACTGGTAGGCTCCTCTCATGGATATAAGGATCAAGGACTGAACCTGTTCCATGTCTCTGTCTCCAGTGCCTGGCATACAGTAGGTGCTCACTAATGCCTGGATGGATGGATGCATGGATGTTTCCACAAAGTGGAATGTAATCAGTAAAACTGCCAATTCATCATCATAGGAGCCGTCAGTTAAAACCACTCTGATGCCAGTCTGCTGGAGTTAGAATCGAGACCCTTCTGCTTCGTTGGGCAAGTTACTTAGACTCTCTGTGCCTCATTTCATCTATAAAATGGGAGCAGTAACAGGACAGCCTCATAGGATTGTTACAAATGAGCGTGTCATGCGCTGAAGTCACGAAAGAGCTCAGAACAATGCTAGGAACTTATGACCATGAAAGTGTTAAGTAAACTGATTAACTCCTGCTTTGTTGTCTGTGTACTGGCCATACCCCACATCCCACCCAAAATTCACAACTCCTGAGGGATACTGACTTTTGCAATTTTATAGAAAAGTGGAAACTGAGGCTCAGAGAGGTCACTCAACAAGAAAGGGGCAGAGTAAGGATTGTGCCCATCAGGGAGCTATCCAGCTCCAAAGCCTTCTGCTGAAACCTGTCACACTACAAGTCCACACACAGTATTCCCTGGCTTCCTCAGCCAGCTCAGATTCCACACAGTGCATGACTGCAATGGTCCAGGCATGGTGATTGAGGCTAAGGAGGGGAGCAGACCTTTCGCGAGTCTCAGCAGCACTCAACACTTCACTGGTTCCAAAGCCCTTGATTTTCCTCTTCACCCCATTGAGGCCTGCCAGGCAGGGTCTGTGCTCCCCCTCGACTGATAGAGAAATCTGGCATCAGGAAGGTTGTGTGGCTTACCCAAACACTCACAGCAGCTCCGTGATGGAGGCCTTGGCTTCTGATTCCCGGTCCTGCCCATAGCTGTTCCAGCTCACTGCCCTTCCTCCCTACACGTCTCTGAGTGTCAGGAAGAGTAGACCCTTCTGGGGAAGCACAGCCCCTGCAATACAAACAGTTCTGCAGTGGAGTTTGGGGGCCATGTCTGCCAGAGCCTTTCCCAGCAGTGCCCCATGGCTCAGGACACCAGCTGTGCACCCTGGTCCTCGCCCCAGCCCAAGTCCTGCTCCCAGCTCCAGAATCCTCTCCCAGCCCCGTTGTTCAGCACTCCACCTCGTGACCCTCCTTCTTTGTGCCCATTGGTTATGGGGCCGTCCTTGGGAGGGCAGTGGTATTTGGCATTTATCTCCTTCCCTTTAGGAGACCCACGTCACCAACTCTTCGCCTCTAGAAAAGTCTCCAAATTCGCTTCTCCCAAGCAGAAGACATTTTAATTACCCCAGCCGCCATTATCTGTTCCAGCCAGCTTTGAGCCGTTCCC